TTTTATATATATCTCCAAATTTACATGTAGACCAAGTTAGTTACAGGTGTTTGGGACAAACTGGATAACACTGCTGGGGATGCGTGCAGTCGGCTTTTATTCCTCTAGCTGCCATCGCCGCAACTATTCCATCAGCACTATAGCAGCTGGGAGTGTGGTCACATTTTTTTGACAGCTTTCTTCTACATGCTGAGGAAGGTGCCATATCAATCCTGCCCCCCCCCAGCACCTTGTCATGTGTCCTGGGCTCACCTGTCCGTCCTGGGTGCCTCGGACCTCCGTGGTCGGTTTCAGAATGTTTCAGAATGTCCCTGAGTAGTATGGCCCCGGAAGTGTTCAGCTCTGAGCACTTTCGGGTTTTGCTTAGCTCTGAGCACTTTCAGGGTCAAAATTGACAAAGCTTACCCACTCTGGCCAGGAAGAATTTGATCAAGCACCTGTCCCTCCTTGGTGCCTCGGGCGATCTGTTAGCTGATCTCCCGTGGGGAGCATGAACCCAGAAGTGCTCGGCTCTGAGCACTACATTTTTTTTCCTGACTGACCGCTTCTACATGTTTACGAAGGTGCCATATCAACCGCCCCCCCCTCCCACAGCACCTTGCCATGTGCCCTGGGCTCACCTGTCCCTCCTAGGTGCCTCAGACCTCCATGGCAGGTTCCAGAATGGAGAGCAGTGTTTGCTGATTTTCCTTGGGTAGTATGAACCTGGAAGTGCTCAGCTCTGAGCGCTTCCAGTATCAAAATTGTCAAACCTTGGCCACTCTGGCCAGGAAGAAATTGGTCAAGCACCTGTCCGTCCTGGGTTCCTCAGACCTCCATGGCGGATGTCGGAATGGAGAGTGGTGATTTTGTTCGCTTATCTCCCGTCGGTAGCATGAACCCAAAACTGCTCAGCTCTGAGTACTTCCAGGTTTAGACTTGTCAAAGCTTGGCCACTCTGGCCAAGAAGACGTTGATCAAGCACCTGTCCCTCCTGAGTGCCTCATACGCACGTGGAGTGCAGCTAACCATTCGCTGATAACCCCTGGGTAGCATGAACCTGGAACTGCTCAGCTCTGAGCACTTCCTGGTTTAGACTTGTCAAAGCTTGGCTACTCTGGCCAGGAAGAATATGATGAAGCACCTGTCCCTCCCGGATTTCTCAGACCCCCATGGCAGATGTCAGAAAGGAGAATGCCGATCCGTTCGCTCATCTCCCCTGTGGTGGCATAATTCTGTAAATGCCCAGCTCTGACCACTTCCAGGTTTAGACCTGTGAAAGCTGGGCTTCTCTGGCCAGGAAGACGTTGATCGGCTTCAGTAGAGTGCAGAGGTGGCATGATCAGTTTAACAGACCCCTGATGTTACCTTAAAGAGAACCTGTCACCTGCACTATGCTATCACATAGGGGGCTTGTCTATCGTGCAGGTTATAGGTTCTCTTTCAGGGAAGCATCAGGAATCTGTTGGACTGATGGTGTCATCTCAGCACTCTGGTGAAGCTGATTGAGCTTGACCAACTTCTTCCTGGCCAAGCTTTGACAAAGCTGAACCCGGAAGTGCTCAGAGCTGAGCACGCAGTCTCCTTTCCCTCAACATTGTTTCACTTGCCTGCAGCTGAAGAGCGGCATTTTAATGAAGGAAGGTGGAGCTTTTTTTGAAACCATAACAAAACCATTCCCCTACCCATCAGGAAGGAGGACCTGTTGAAGTTGATAGGTGTCCCGCTCTTGGTGCGATCACTGGTTTAGAATATGACCGCATGTTACAGAGGCGCCTTGACACCAAGACCCTTGTCCCGAACCTGGAAATAATAGGCGGGTCCTCTTTGCTGACTTTTATGTTGTATGAGTGAATGCCCGTTTTGCAGTTTTCCCGCCCTTCTCCATTTTTTTTAACATGACCCGGCATCTACCATGTTTTGGTACTGGACGGGCGCGCCCATCATGGCAACCACCGAGCGTATTTTCCTGCATTTCGCGCGCAGCTGACGATCTAAATCCGCTTTGACCTCCTGCGTGCTGCAGTGCCGATTCTCCTATTTTTTAGGTTTCGTACGGTAATCCCCATATTAAAATTCCGGCAGCATGCGCGGGGGGCGGTTTGGCCGCCGTCGTCCCAGTTTGCGCGCCGTGGGAAATAACAGCGTTTTCTGTTACAGGGATTTACCCTGAAATCTCTAAAGAGGAGATAATCGGCTCTTCCCGCCTCGCTCTGTACTGCGGAGGTTCTCGGAGGACTTCAGCGTATTCCAGTCACATAATATATTATTGCAGCATTATCCGTCCAGCAGCCACATCGAGTAGCTTCTGCTGAATCGCGACGCGGTAAAGAGAAACTGTCACTTTGACCATGGAGGGCACTTTACCTGCACTCCTCCTGCGCAGCCGGACAGGTTGTCGGCGACCAGAGGGGGGAGAGGTGGTGCCTCTTCTTCGGTCGCGTGTCCATGCCCAGGCATGGCATTTGCTGGGATATACACTGTATTGCCAGAAGTATCGGGACGCCTTTACACGCACGTATTGCACGGGTGACAACCTATCACGGCACCGCGCTTGTAGTCACAGAGCTCCTGAGAGCGACCCGTTCTCTCACCAATGTCTGTAGAAGCGTCTGCACGCCGAGGTGCCTCGTCCTATACACCGGGGGCCACGGAGGGGATTGGAACACCTGAATCCAATGATTTTGGGGGGGTGTCCTAATACTTTTGGCAATATAATGTATAATTGGTCACTGCATGAGCTCAGCTCTGCTCTTAACTTGCAGCAAAGTCGCCCGGTGGCATTGAAAGGCCATCAAACTTCTGAGAAGTTAACTCCATGTCGTGGGGATTGGCGAGGTGCATCAGCCTGGCGCATTGCGAACAGCCTTGTCTCGCTTTTAGAAGCGACGCTGGCCTTGGGTTCTCTTCAGCTTCTCTCCATCCCGGCTAACTTCTCTATTGTGCCGCGTTTGCAGGGGCAGTGTCGGCTAAGTGGTGGGAAATCCAGTGGGCGTGCAGAATGCGGCGGATGTGCCGCCAGACGCTGTGTGAATAGCAGACCTTGAACCCTCTGCCGTCTGCTGCCTTCACCCTCCTATAGAACTTTTATTAACTAAGTATTCACAGCAAGCGCTTCAGTGCTGAAAGTGTCACTAAATCCTCACATTATCAGTGTGTACCAGTGCCTCCCCCCGGTGTCTGGGCACCAGTGCCTCTTGGACATCCAACAAGCTTTATTGCAAGTAGTGCAAACTCACAAAGTCCAATGGTGGCACTTCCTTTACCGGCAGACCCTTTTCTTCACTTACAATGCATTTCTCCCCGATAGGGGCTTCGTTCGCAGTATACATGGACTTGGCTCATCTGCTCCTGCTGCTTTGTCCAGTCAGAGGGCCCAGGGTGTGTTCCTGACCTAGCTGTGCGGTCTAGCTGGAGTGCTGAGTACCTAACTCAGCACAGGGATGGTGGGAGCTCCTCATAATGGGCACAGCGGGTGTACAGACCCGGGAACTCAGCACAGGGATGGAGGGGGCCCCTCATAATGGGCACAGCGGGTGTACAGACCCGGTAACCAGCACAGGGATGGTGGGAGCTCCTCATAATGGGCACAGCGGGTGTACAGACCCGGGAACTCAGCACAGGGATGGTGGGAGCTCCTCATAATGGGCACAGCGGGTGTACAGACCCGGGAACTCAGCACAGGGATGGTGGGAGCCCCTCATAATGGGCACAGCGGGTGTACAGACCCGGGAACTCAGCACAGGGATGGGGGGAGCCCCTCATAATGGGCACAGCGGGTGTACAGACCCGGGAACTCAGCACAGGGATGGTGGGGGCCCCTCATAATGGGCACAGCGGGTGTACAGACCCGGGAACTCAGCACAGGGATGGTGGGAGCCCCTCATAATGGGCACAGCGGGTGTACAGACCCGGGAACTCAGCACAGGGATGGGGGGAGCCCCTCATAATGGGCACAGCGGGTGTACAGAGCTGGGAAGTTTTAACTTTGTAAAACGCAATCAGTGGTGAGAATACAAAAGTCAATCTCGCTTTAGATAAAAGTTGTGGAAAACAATTGGTGGAGTGGACATTCTTTGGCATATATTGTAGAAGTCGCCATCTAGGAATGCACAGAGGCAAAGTTTCCTCTCGGCACGTTTCATAGAATAGCCCCTGATAAGAAATGATGACGCCTCTTATTCATGGAAGTCTTTGATCACAGCGCACGCAGGGATGCAGCGCGATGAGTCAGGGTACCATCTTGTAGAGCAGTCTTGTACTTTGCCTCTCCCTTTTCTTTCCTCAGGGACGTTCCGTTGTACCTTCTGTCAGACCGAGGTGGAAGAAGACGAGTCCGCTATGCCGAAGAAAGACGCCCGGACTTTAGTTGCCCGGTTTAATGAACAGATCAAGCCTTTGTATGACCTGCTGCGGGAGACGGAAGACATAAACCTGGCACATGAGATCCTGGAGCCGGAACCTACCGAGATCCCGTCTCTCAGGCAGAGGTAGGTGCTTCCCCTTGGTGCGGCCCGGCCGCCATCTTGCTGTTGCGACATAATAGCTAATAGTGGTAATTGGTCGTTTCCATCTGGACCTGTTCCGTAATGTGGAAGATGTTTCAAAGCTTCTCCAAGCCAAGTTCTAATAAGATACGCCAGCATTTCTATCCACACGGGTAGCACAGTCCTCCTAGTTCAGGGGTAGGCAACCTTGGCACTCCAGCTGATGAGCAATTACAATTCCCATAAGGCATTGCAGGACTCTGACAGCCATGGGTATGACTCCCAGAGGCACAGGCATGTTGGGTCTTGTAGTTTCAGAACAGCTGGAGTGCCAAGGTTGCCTACCACTGTCCTAATTCGAGCCGACGTGTGACAATGAAACTGTCACAGGTCGGCTCAATAGATCGGGAAGTGAGTAAACGCATACCGTCGCTCACTCACTTCTCAATCTATCCCTGCAGAGAGTGGTGACTGTCACTCACGGCTCCCCACAGAGATTCCCCATTCCCTCTCCGATCCTCCAGCATTGACTGGCGGAACGGAAATGCGAGGGGGCGGGTACAGCTGGCTCTAGCTCTAGATAGGCAGAGCCAGCTGTCACGCAGCTGGGCGGATCCAGACATAATTGTCGGGATCCGCTGCGGTGGTCTCAGTATACCGCGAGCTGTAGCTCCCTATATACTGAGCCTAGGGTGACGGGGGGACGCTAGTTTATGTCCTCCTCCCCCCCCCCCCGCCTCATAGTTTTCCTTTTAACCCAATCATTATGGGATGTGCACATGGTGATTGTCCGAGAACAGGATGGAAGCTGTGCATTGTATGTAGGTGATGGATGGTGCTGTGGGCTCCCACCCCAGTTCAGGGAGGGTTGATCCAGCTTGATGTAGATGGCCTCTTGTGAACCAGTTGTCCTCTCTGCCCAACAAGTGCACCTCACTGTCCTCCGAAGACGAGTATCTTCCCAACACTCATTAGAACTGACAATGTGGCTTGGACGAGCTATGAAACGTCTTCAACATCACAGATCGGGTCCAGACGAATGTTACTACCTACTACTAGCTATCCCATGACCTAGATAGACGAGAGACG